TATACATATATATGCAACTCACAAAATGCACATAAATTATATAGCAGACAATCCTGAAGATTTTCTCAGGGACAAAAATTGTTTTGAATCAAGAGCTCTGGTGAAAATATCAGCAAGCTGATCATCTGTAGGTACATGATCCAACACGATAATTCTATCTTCTATCAAATTACGAATAAAATGATACCGAGTGTCAATATGCTTGGTACGAGAATGTTGGACAAGATTTTTCGAGATATTTATTGCACTAGTGTTGTCACCAAAAAGTTGAGCCGAATGAACGTTCATACCATACTCAGATAAAATTTGTTTCATCCATACCAACTGTGAGCAGCAGCTTCCAGCGGCAATGTACTCGGCTTCAGCAGTAGAAAGGGAGATACAGTTTTGTTTATTGCAGAACCAAGATACCAAGTTTGATCCTATGTAAAAACACCCACCAGAGGTGCTTTTTCGATCATCAAGAATTCCAGCCCAGCCAGCGTCACAATAACCTGCAAGATGTAAGTTCGTATCAGCAGAGTAGAATAGACCATACTCTGTTGTACCTCCAATGTACTTTATGATATGATTGACTACTTTCATATGTGATTCCTTGGGGGAAGCCTGATACCTGGCACACAATCCAACACTAAAGCAAATGTCAGGTCTACTAGCAGTGAGATATAAAAGACTACCAATCATACTTCGGTATAGAGTTTGATCAACAGATGTACCTTCATCATCTTTGGACACTTTTACATGAGTGCCCATGGGAGTTTGAGGACATTTAGCATTTTCAAGACCAAACTTTTTGACAAGGTTTTTTGCGTACTTACCCTGATGTAAGAAAATACCGTCTTTACCTTGCTTTACCTGAAGTTCAAGAATGTGAGAAAGTTCACCGACCAGACTCATCTCGAATTCAGACGACATAAGTTTCTCAAAGTGATTGACCAGCTTCTTGGATGTTGATCCAAAGATGATGTCGTCGACATAGATTTGAATGGCCAATAGATCCTCATTCGTTCGAAGAGCAAAGAATGTCTGATCTACTCCTTCTCTCTCTTGAATCCCTTTTCCAGAAGGTACATGGTAAGGCGGTCATACCACGCACGAGGCGTTTGATTTAGTCCGTACAATGCTTTCTTAAGCCTATAGACATGATTTGGATTCTTGGGATCTTTGAACCCTTCTGGCTGCTTCATGTAAGCCTCTTCATGTAATATCCCATTCAGGAAGGCAGACTTCACGTCCATCTGATAAACATTGAACTTCATTAGACATGCAATAGATAGAAATATGCGTACCGATTCAAGTCTAGCAACGGGGGCGAAGGTTTCATCAAATCAATCCCTTGAGTCTAAGTGTAGCCTTGAGCAACTAGTCTCGCCTTGTTCCGTGTCACATTCCCAAACTCGTCAGTTTTGTTCTTGAAGATCCACTTGGTTCCGATAACATTTCCCGAGAAAGGTTCAGGTACTAACTCCCAGACATCGTTTCTAGCGAATTGTTCCAGTTCCTCCTGCATGGCTAAGATCCAGCACTCGTCTTTCAGGGCCTCTTTAGCATTCTTGGGTTCAAGGAGTGAGGTGTAGCAAGCATAATGAGAAACACCCATAAGTTCTTTGACTGACGTCTTCGAGTTTCTAGTAACTCTCTCGTTTATGTCACCAATGACTTGCTCGGGTGGATGGAATTTCTGAACCCTTAAGGGAGGATCACGCCTAGGTAACTCAGAACCTTCTTGGGTCGTAGGGAAATGTAGTCAGTTGACGTTTCAGCATTCTCAACAGAAGGTTCAGCTATCTCCTTGTCTGTAGAGCTCTTAACACCCTTAGTATCCTGCAATGCCTCAACATTTTCAAACTGATTAAAGTGTTGATAAACGGATTTGATCAACTTATTTATATTTATATTTATTAGATTAATAGC